GCACGATACCCATTACCTAATTAGTTTTCCGGTAAATTTTAATTCGTCAGGAAATAAGAGACCACATCACCTGGAAACTGACGCACAAAGGGGCATTGTATACGACATAAGGCCTACGTGGGTGTGTGTTGCCCAGTGAGCAAGCGCCAGCTTTAATCGCGGATGTGCTGCTCGCCTTTGTCAATTTTCCATAGAGTGGCGGCTCCCTCATGAGCGTGAGCAGCTGACATTATTATGACGTGCCGACTATCCCTATACCTTCCCTATTCATATTTTCTCATTTGACCTTGATGATAAAAAAACTGGACGAATCAAAGCCAAAGCTCTCGATTCAATCCAAAATGTATACTTAATCGTAGGGAGCAGGTTTATTAGCTTTTGAAGTAAATAAGTCGACGGGCTTTTCACTTGTTTAAGGATCCAAATTATTTCAGACTTGACAATATTTTTGGAAAATTTCCAAATCATTTCGTTCACTACCTCATGAAAAATTAATTACTTAGCACGTGCAGAATTTCTGAGAAATTTTTTTATTTCATAACTTTAATTCGTTTGATATAATTTTATTTAACTTCAATTTCAAGATACAATTTGAAAGCAATAACTGTAAATAAAATATTTGATACAATATTGACAAAAATATTAATATCTACGTGTAGAACAGAAATAATTAATCAAATGTTTAAATCATTGTGGTAAATGGTCTTAGTTAGAAAAAAAAAAAGTATTTTTGAAAATAATGCATGATTTTTTTGAGCATATCGGAATGTTTAAAGTTGTCAGTCCATAGGACATACACATATTTTCACATTTAAAAATCGATGACTTATATTTTTACGAATAAAGTTCAAAGTATTTATTTGTTCTCTATTTTAATTTTAAATCCAGAATGATTGCATGATTTAATAAATTTCACGAGATTTGAGGTACAACTTTATTAGTTCGCAGTTCGTGTACATTTGTGAAAAAGACTTCGTTAGCACAGCAACTGGAAAATAGTTTATAATACCAATATTGAGATAGTAACATAAAAATTTAAGTACAATTCATACGAAATCCAAAAAATATTTTTCATACTTGAAAATACTGATTCAGATTTTGTAAGCTTTGAAATGAGCAAATTTGATTAAACATTTAGGTATTTTATCAACTGCATAATATATAAGACTCGGTGCTCTAAATTTTAACTCAAATAGATTTGAAAATTTAATTCAGCTCGCATTAAAAAAAAAGTCAATAAAATATACACCTCTACCTACAATTTCACAGTTCAATAAAATTAAAAGTGGAAGACCTGCCGTATAATCCGGTATAATCGAGTTGTTTGCGATCGATGAATGTAGAAAAAAAAAATTATTATTTCCCTGAATACTACGTAAACACACCTACAAACGTATCATTAATAAATCAAGCATGAAAAATTAATTCTTAGACAATGTACAGTATTATTCCACACAACACATACAGTACTTGTATTGTGTAGCGCAACACGCAAAAAATAGCCAAAGCCTTTCAGCAGCCGTAAAGGAGGAAAAAAAAACCAAAGCGATTTTACAAGAGCTTTCCTTAAAAATACCGTACATGCTGGCATTCATAACTCAACGCGTTATCAACTTTAATCCAATCTTGTTGAACTCGCGAGCGCCGGGTATAAAAGGTACAGGTATATACAAAGATAAGAGCAATCGCTAAGTACACAACACAGATGCGCTTATGGTAAAACGGCAACAACTTATTGCATGCAGGTTTACATTTCTTGCGGTTCACGCGCATAATATATATATATATAT